TAACATGTCCGAACCATCTCAACCTCGCCTCACGCATCTTTTCCTCCACGTGGGCCACTCACACCTTGTCAAGAATAACTTCATTCCTAATTCTATACAACCTAGTATGCCGACATATCCATCTCAACATCCTCATTTCAGCTACTTTCATCTGGTGGACATGAGAGTTCTTGATTGGCCAACACACTGCCCCATACAACATAGTTGGTCTAACCAATACCTTGTAGAACTTACCCTTAAGTCTCATGTGTATAATCATGCTAAAATGTGTATGAACTGTACAATTTTATTTACTTGAAAAATAAAAGACATAAAGATGCATTACACCTATGTCATCAAAATAATATCTTAATAGAAGGACACGAAAAGAAATTTTAAATTAAAAAACTAACTTCAAATTAATAAATAAAGAATGCAAAAAAAATGAAGCATAAAGAAGGAAATGCAAGTGTGAAAGCAAAGTAATGATTGGAGGAGAAAAATCTTTACTTTGTAGCTTGCACTTTGCAAACAAATATCTAAAGTGTATTTATTTCTCAGTAGTAAATGGCAAAGAGTAAAAATTATAAAATTGAGATAAACAATCTTTGGCTTTTGAAATTTTTAATTTAGAAGTTTACTATGAGTTAACTTGTGGATGTTTAAGTTATATTATTATTATTATTATTATTATTTAAGATTTATCAAATAATTTTGGCTCAAATTTGAAGTTCACGGGGTTTACGCCGACTTAAGCCTAGCGAGCGCCCCCAATATCAAGGCTTACGTCCTACGATAATTACGCTCGGCCAATGCGTCTAGCTGAGTTTCTGGTACACCTCGCTTTCGGGCTTGCCCAGATAACGCCTTTTAAAATATTTTTAGTGATAACTGTAGGAAAAAAATATTAGATCAAATTTCCCTTTTTTTTATTAATTGATCATGAACGATATATTGTAAAAAAAATGGAATGTTTAAAACAAACCTGTAAATTTAAAATCTTTGTTAATCATCAAACATTGAAATCTATGATAATATTTTGCTTTTGTGTAGGGGTGGCAAATGAGCAAGTTGGGCTGAATTTGGGCGCGTCAAGATGGGTTAGGTCAATAATTGGGTCATTACCCAACCCAGCCCAACGTGTACTTGGGCTAAGATGAGCTGGGTCAAGATGCGCTAAACAATGGGTCATAGCCCAACCCGCCCAACTTGACCCATGTTTTAGAATCACGCTCATCTTGCATAAAAAAGCCTTTTGCCATAAAATATGTGAGTTGAAAATATTTTGCGGATGGGGGGTTGGGGTGGGTGGGCGGTGCAGAAGAACGAAAAAATGGAAAACAGAAAATAAAAAATACAAAAAAAAAGTAAAAAAAGATGTTGAGGGGGTTTACTCGCGGGCGGGCGGAGGGGTAGGGGTATAGGTGTAGGGTATAGGGTGGGTGGGTGTGCAGAAAAATAAAAAATAGAAAATTGAAAATACAAAAAAAAAATGGAACAAATCAAAAAAAGACAAAATCGTCAATAAATTTGAATCAAATTGTAGAAATTAGTTCTGCAAAAGCTCAGTTCGTCGACATTCTCTCTACATCTCTCTCTATTTCTCAATCGCAAATCTCAGTAATACAAAGCAAATGAAAAGAGAGCAGCAATTCCACCATTGACAGCCATTAAAAAGCTTGAAAGCTTTGAATTCAAATTTGGGTTTTCAAAAATCATTATTTGTTTGGATTGGGTTTTGTTGAAAATAATCGGGAATATGGTTTGGAGTTTATATCTCAATTTTGAGGGGTTTTGGTGAAGATTAGACTTCGTTTTGACTGAATTTCAGATTGAAACTCGAAGAAGAAGAAGAAGAAGAAGAAGAAGAAGAAGAAGAAGACATATTGCAGAAATTGTAGATAAATTGTAGATGAATTGTAGATTATTTGTATTCTGATTGTAGATGCTTTATTTTCTGTTTTCACAAATAAAAAACATCTAAAACTTCTACAAATCTTTTGAAAAAATGCAATTATGTCAAAAATACCAATTATGCTACAATTGAATGGGAATTGGGATATAAAAATTCAATGTACCCAGTTTGTAGATAAATTGTAGATTATTTGTGTTCTAATAGTAGATGCTTTGTTTTCTGTTTTCACAAATCAAAAACGACTAAAACTTCTACAAATCTTCTGCAAAAAATGCAATTATGTCGAAAATCCCAATTAAACTACAATTGAATGGGAATTGGGATATTAAAATTCAATGTACCCAGTTTGTAGATATTTTGTAGACAAATTGTAGATTATTTATATTCTGATTGTAAATGCTTTGTTTTCTGTTTTCACAAATAAAAAACGACTAAAATTTTTACAAATCTTCTGCAAAAAATGCAATTATGTCGAAAATATCAATTAAGCTACAATTGAATGAGAAATTGTACCAATGTCGAAAATACCAATTAAGCTACAAGCTATAATCGATTCAATAAGTCCATTATATTTTGATATTTAATTAGAAGGATACTTATAGAATACATATATAGAAGGTATTTTCTCATTTTATGTCGTGACTGAATCTCCTAGTGAGGATTTTTTAACTTATCTTACACCTAGTACGTACAAAAATACATACAGCGACACCATCATATTTTAATATATATATTTAGAAGGCAGAAGGGTAGTTGTAGAATAAATAGAAGGTCTTTTCTTATTTGGTTTATATTAATAAGTATGTTAGAAAAAAGAAGAGTCCTATTTTCATATTTGTTGCAGAAATTAAAGCGTTTTTGGCATTAACCGAAGATTGAATTTCTTCCTATTGCAGAATATGGCAGTTGTAAGTTTCCGACAGGATATTGATTTGGTTCGAGCTTTTGAGGAAAAACTAAAGCTACAAGCTACAAGCTAAAATACACTATGGTATAGAATTGGTAATTTGGTATACTAAGTGTAATTAAGTCAAACCTTAAACATTGAGGGTAATAAGGTTTCCTATGTGGCATAGGAATGTAAATAATTCCATTCTTTAATCTCCAAGAGACAACCCAATAGCTAATACGCCATAATTCGAACAGCGGTGCTATAAATTCGAATATTGAACTTTTCCTATTCCATATTAATAGCCTGTTTGGCCAAGCTTCTTTTTGGACAAAAGTTACTTTTTTTTTGGCCAAAAGCACTTTTGGCCAAAAATTAGGTGTTTGGCCAAGCTTTTGGAAGGAAAAGAAGTGCTTTTGAGGAGAAACAGAAGCAGTTTTGGAGAAGCAGAAAAAAGTAGCTTCTCTCCAAAAGCACTTTTGAGAAAAATACACTTAGAAGCAGTTTTTTAAAGCTTGGCCAAACACTAATTGCTGCTCAGAAGTGCTTTTCAAACTAATTAGCCAAACACAAACTGCTTCTCGAGAAAAGCACTTTTGAAAAAAAGCACTTCTCAAAATAAGCTGATTTTTGCAGCTTGGCCAAATGGGCTATAACTATATGTGAATAACAATCATGCGTTAGTTTAATTGACATTTGCAACCAGGATACAACTAAATGAGATAACTCGAGGCACTCAATTTAGGGGCATAGAGTTATATTCTAACTTTTGTTATGCTAGCAAAGTAAAGGGGGAAAAACTGCATGCACCAACTATGTTAATTTATCATGGATAAGTATTTGTAAATTGAAATAAAATGCTTATTAATTAGCCAATGATAAATGATTAAAATTTATGTTCGAGACACATCGCTTTGATGCATATATCTTGCAAGCACGGGCGGAGCCACCTTACGCAAAGAGATGTTAATTGCACCCCTTTGCGGAAAAAATATAATGTACGGTTACGTAAAAAAAAAATATATGTATATATATTGTATGTTTAATCCCCTTAATTTTTACGTATGTTTATTTTTTTTATATTTTAACATCCTTTAATAAAAATTCTAGCTTCCTTGCAAGTATCACTTGATGGATGTCAAATGTCACATTGAAAAGAGTCGAGGAATATCACGAATATATATTAGTCTAGATTCTTTCTTGTGAAGATTTTGTTATCTTTGCTGTGGATATGGCAGAGTTTTCCTTCTTCTTTTTTTAAATTTGGGATTTATATTTTAAGAGGGTAGCTAGATATATTCTTGCTAAATAGTAACCTTTATGCATTTAATTCCTAAACTATAATGCCAAAATTTTCACTGTTCTGCCTAAATAGACAAGTGTGTGTTTTATTCTGGTGCATTTTTACTTGCAAAATATTTATATTCAATTGACAAATATCTAATTGCACCATGAATATCATATTTAGATATTAACAGGAAAATGCATGTAAAATAACCAGCAGGATAGTGACATTTAGCTAATTGCTATAGCCAACTCTTCTTGTAATTATTACTTAAAATTTAGTTTCAAGTTTGAACATAGGATTGACCAAAACCTCATGACAACTTGCATATTAGTGGGATCTTTAATCTTCCTCCACTAGACATAAAGAAAAGTTGGTCTTTTTTTAGGTTTTTCCCTTAAACAATGGAAAACCAATGGTTTTGTCTATTGAATTAAGTGATTCTATTGAAAAACATGGTGTGGTGCTTGTTTCTCCCTTCCTCTCATAATTGAAATGATTCTTTCCTTATTAAGATTCTTGTAGGCAGAATAGTAAAAGTTCCATTTCTTCTATTTAAAGCTCCCATTTGACTGTAGAGAGTAGCTCTTTATAGTGTATGCTTTACATTGAGCATATCGGTGAGAAAGGTTCGCCCGGTGCACAATGCATTCCGTATTTGTGCAGTGTTCACGGAAGGATCGCACCCCAAGTGGTGTGAAGTAGACAACATAATCTAATACAAAGATTAGTGACTGCTTCCACGGCTTGAACTTGCACACAAAGACAACTTTGCCGTTGCTCCAAATCTCCCCTTCACCAAATCAATGAGAAAGAAAAAGAAAACAAAAAGAGTCTAAAGGGCACAATTTTCAAACATAAGACCCCACTTTGCTTATATTAGCATATAAGTAGGTTGTACAAAGAGAACTTTCCATATGAACAGTACAAACTGCCAACAATAGCATCTTCATTGAATTTACAAAGACATTATGTCAATATTCTACATCTAAAGTTAATAGGTGCAAAATCAAGAAAGAAATACAATTTTCCCACTAAAAGAAAAGGGTATCCCTATAGGAATTAGTTGTTATATATTTTGGCAAAATCAAGAGTTTTCTTGCCTTGAAGCTTGTTAGTAACATAGTGCATGCTGTACTCTCCATGATTGTACCTTTTATACTTGCAAGGGTTATTTTCATCAACCAATTCTTGCAATGGTCCTAATTCAATTTCATAACTTGGTGCATAAAATGTCACAATTGATAGTCTGTCCTTTTCTTGGTGAGTCACTGCTCTGTGCTCCACACTCTTGTATCTTCCATTAGTCAAAACCTATTTTGAAAAAAACAACATTAGACAAAATCGAGTTCGGATGGAACTAAACAAGATTTCGAACGAATACAAATATCAAAGACTTTATTATTGAGAAAGTAAAAGATAGTTATTCAGCAGTTGTCGCATGTTTAGGGGCAGGGGCGGAGCTAGGTAGTCGGAAGGGGTTCAAACCCCTTTGCCGAAAATTACATTGTATATATAACGTTAAATTTTTTTTCATGTATATATATTAGATGTTGAATTCCCTTAGCTTCCTCGAGTGTTTACTTTTTTTATTATTTGAATCCCCTTGATGAAAATCCTGTTTCTGCCACTGTTTAGAAGTATCCATCGGACCTATCACCATATGTATAAAAAAGTAGTAAATATCCAAGTAATGGAAAAAGAATGCATACCTCAATGGTATCACCAATGTTGATAACAAGTGCATTTGGAATTGGTTGGATAGGCACCCAAACATTGTCTTTAAGTATTTGTAGGCCAACTGAGCTGCCTTTACCCTGTTGTAAAACTGTTAGTGCACTTCCATCTGAGTGGGGACTTAGTCCCAAAACAAGATCTGGTCTAGGACATGCTGGATAGTAATTCATCCTCAATGCTTGTACAGCAACTCCAAACATTTCTTCAAAAATATCCTCATTCAGTCCAAGACTGACTGCTATATATTTTAATAAATTCTTGCATAGCTTCCTTATCTCCCTTGAGTATATCTCTACTGTTTCACTACAAAAAGAAAATAAAAATTGAGCTCCAAGAATGAGGTTTAGCGATTAATGAAGTGGATTAAATACTTGAGAAATCAGGGTTCAAATAACGCAAGGTGCTCTTTTCCTATATGCCTAAGCTTAGTGACAGCGTTACTCGGTACCTGTACTGTACTGTACTGGTGATATAATCAAGGTGGTCCCCACCCAATTTACAAAAAAAATGAGCTTTTCTGGTTTAAACTAGTAGTCAATATAAGGTGGTCCCCACCCAATTTACAAGTCTTTTGCACTTGCTTATCAAACAGTTGTATTTTTTAGCTGACCTGAAATCAGCTGGCTTTGTTGGCCAGAGTTTTGGATTCCTAATGAAATGGGGTTCCACACCAAGGGCAAACATGTTACACCAATCAAGCTTTTGATCTTCTGAGAAAACAAAAGCTTGACCATAACCTTGAACTGTGCCAGGAGCCATTGGATATTTCTGTTTCTCCTCTAAAGGTAGCATGAAAAACTCCATAGCTATTTTCTCCATTTTTTCAAGCAAGTCCAAATCAACCCCATGGTTAATCACCTATAACATAATAAATCAAAATTAGAATCCCATAATCTTTTAGATTAAAAAATGTTGAATTGGGAGAAGTTACAACAACAACAGCCGAGTGAAATCTCACAAGTGGGGTCTGTGGAGGGTAGTGTGTAAGTAAACCTTACCCCTACTCTGGAGGAGTAGACCCTCGGCTCAAGAATATGAAAAGAGACAAAATGGGGAGAAGTTAAGTACCTGAAAAAATCCCCACTCTTCACATGAACTAGAAAGCTTCAAGATTTCATATTGGAAATCCTGGCTATTTTTGTTGCCTTTCAAGATTTTGGACAAATCAACAACAGGAATATTGTTAAGATTATAAGAAGATAGAGTAGTAACTGTGGCAAGTTTTGGCCTTTCTATCATATCTCTTACAAATCTTTCAGGAATAGAAGATGGCTTAGTCTTTTTCAGTTCTTGAACATCATCAATGTGACCAACCTTAACAGGAAAACTTGGCACTGGAGCCATTTTCTAACACAACTTTTGTTTTTGGGAAATGGTATTGAAAATTTTTGGTTACAAAACAACTAGTCAAGGTTGTGAAAGTTTCTGCTTTGTTAGGCATTAACTTCAGAAAATGTCAAGTACTTATAGAGGGTAAAGAGTGACAAAATGATGCATCTCTGATTTTATTGTGTAGGTCCCTAGCTGATGCACTTTAATAAATTCTCAGTCATGCAAGTTCTATAGTCTAGAAATGTAGTACTAATATATAAAAACCAATAATTGCTTGCACTTCCATCCAATTACCAACATTCAATATGGATCATAGCATCAGCATCTTGAGTTCTGAGTACAATTCTTTCCTAATAGAAGAATTGTTTTGTTCTTTTCTTTCCCTTTTAGCTACTTTTTGCAATTTGTCTCTTCAAAAAATGAAAAGCATATTAGTTTCATTGATTGAAGCAAAAATACTTTCACTCCCCTGTTAAGTTGCATTAAGGGGTAATCAAATGAGAGGGAGGTCCTTTGCACACACCTTCAGAGGCGGAGCTAGGATTTTAAGTTTATGGATTCGAGATTCTAATCTTTTTAAGTTGCTGGGTTCTAAATTAAACTTTGTACATAATTAATAAATTTTTAAAAGATAAATACAAGGTTTGAATCAAAGCTACTGGGTTCGGCCGAACTCGTAACTGGCTCTGTGGCTCCGCCCCTTCACACCTTCTCGTGTTTACGCAGAGCTCGAGGAAGGGTCACGCCTCAAGAGGTATAATATAGGTAGCATATCCTGACACAAGCATTAGTGGTTGATTCCACAGCTCAATCTCACCTTCCGATCGACAACCTATATCTGCTTATTACGACATGTTCTTTCATGACAGGTAAGACAACCTCTTGCGTGATTAAATTGAATTCGCACTAGATAGACCCACTAAGGGAGTGCGGTGCTCTACCCAATTCTTTTTCAATGTTCGAACTCAAAATCTTTAATTAAGGATGGAGAGATTCTGACCATCATACCACAACCGTCGATAATTTGCCAAAGAATTGACAAATTCAATATGTCAAGACAAATTGGAATTGAATGTAATTGTTGATACAGGTAATAATAGTAGTATACTATGGCTGGTAAGAGTGACCATCTTTGATTTTTATTGTGTGGGTCCATAATTTATGCACTTTAATAGATTCAGTCATGCAAGTTCTATAATTGCTACCATTTCCATCCAATCACCAATATTCAATATGTAACATAGCATCAGCATCTCAATAAATCAACTCTCTTCCTTTTTCTGCAATGGTGGGTGAAAGAATTTAATGTGATTTGGCAGAATGAGTCAGTAGAAATTAATAGAGAGGTACTGGCCACGTTTCTAGTACCTCCAAAAGCATGTTACCAGGCACACATGGCTAATGAAAAACTCTTGTGTTTCAGTCGATCCCTCTATTAGGTTCTAAATAGAAATATCTTAAGAGAAATCATTTGAATTCGAGGCAAAACCTTTATCTGCCGTTATAAAATTCTTCTATTCCAATTTCACAAAATTAAAGAAGTTAGTATTAATTCATGATGAAATAGTTGAAGTGCGCACAAGTAGACCAGACGTCAGACACCATTGGTATCGAATGTAATTATTTGGTACTGATAATAGTAGAGTATAATGAAAAATGAAAGGAAATTGGTGGTAGGGGCCATGGCTGTGATTACAAGTTGATGTCTCCCATTTGTGCAGACCAAATCTAGTGAAGTTGTCATCATCTCCCTTTTGTCTTTCCCAGAGAGCTTTTTAAGCATACCCGTCCATACTAGCATTTGTGAGAGGCCAAATGCCCTTCTTTTTAGTAGCCATTTTAACAAAAAAATTCTAACTTCAAAAGGCATAACTTGATATAATCGAGGCCAATATATTGAACTATTCAAATGGTAGCAACATTGCAATATTGTTTTTATTGTCTACTTTTTATTTCATGATTTTTGCGGATTAGAAAGGAAATCTTGGCGCAACGGTAAAAATTACTGTTGTGTGACCGAGAGGACACAGGTTTATCACACAGGTTTAAGCCGCGGGAACAGCTTCTTGTAAAAATGCAAGATAATACTGCATAGAAAATACGGTTCAGGCCTTCCTCAGACACTATACTGCTCATAGCAAGAGTTAGTGCACCAAGCTGCCTTTTCGTTTTTACTTTGATACAATGTTGGGGTGAGTGGAGGGGGGGGCTGGTTTTCAGAAAGGAAGAAAGGTAAAAGGAGAAGAAAAAGGTGACCTCTGACTGAGTGCAACATTAGATTGATAGATACATTCGACCAAATTGAGTAAACTGAGTTTGTTGCTTTCTGCATTTTGATTCACCAGACAACGCGTGATTCTCTTTACATTTTCTTCCACATTTGCCTTTTGGAACTTTTGTCCCAACTATGGAAAAAGAACACTTCTTGATTTGAAAACTTTTTTTTTTTTTTTTTTTTTTTTTGGTTTTTCTTTCTGCCTTGACTAGAAGAATGTCTTGTTTTACTTCTATATGTTTTGGTCCTTTGGCACTAACTCATACCCTGTATATTAATAACCAAAAAGTAAAAGACATGAAGACAGGATGAAGTACCTTACCTCATTGAGTCCTACATGACTAGCATGCAGTTTAGTTATTACAATCAAACTTTGGATTGGCCGAAAAAGAAAAACAACACTTGGGATTCACTTCATAATATATGATTAAGTGCCTTAATGTTTCAGAAGATTTACCTTGGATAAGTTGCCAAATTCCAAGCCCGAGAGCCCTGGAGCTTCCCAGCACTCTGATATTCATATTAAGCACACCAACTAAAAGAAATCCATTGACATGATTAAGAAAAGAGATTATACAAAAACAGCCGATCCTTATACTTACAGCCAACAAAAGAAAAGAGATTATAGTATACAGTCAATCCTTATACTTACAGCCAAAATCCAATATGGAATTACAGATGTTAATTGAATTGCAGACGTTCAATCGTGCAAGCTACAAGTACAAAACCAAAACTTAAACCAAGTAGCCCAACATATGCTACAAGTGTAACATCCAGTTGTGACCCAACTTGGATCTGTGTGGTGCAGTTTCATAAGGAGAATGTTACATTTGTCTATGATATGAGATTGATGAAGTAGTTGTTCTTCAACTCAAGAAGAAAAAGGAATCCCAGGTACACTAAAATATGCAGATACACGATGAATTCTCATAGTTGTTTCTTTTTTTTTCCCTCACTCTTGCCCTTCTCAAGCGTGGAGCAACATAACAAAATCTCCTCATTTATTCCAGCATGACTCAGTTGACATGTGCCAGTCAGACAAACAGCAAACTATAGTGAGACATCCCCGCGTTTAGAAACATCAGATAAGTTGACAAGAATCCTTCTCAAATTTGAGATTCTGCATCAGGCCATCTCCAGTAAGCACAACCAAGCTCTCATGCAAAGAAAGCTGCCTTTACTGGGGAATTGTTCCACACATAAAAATTTAGCTGGTAGAACATTCTTCGTCACTCATTACGTAGTACATACCTGTGGCAGTAAATCATCACTTTTTGTCCACCTCAGTGTATCTTTCACTGCCTTAACCACTGTAATATAACGACTACATCAACAGGACGCCAACAGAACATAAATAGTTTCACCAATCATCCTATTTCTATTACAATAGCTACTCAATATTACTTCAAGCCACAAAGAACTCACTTCAGAACTAAATCTTCAAAACCATTTCATAAGCAAAACCATGTGTATAGTCGTTCAGTTTTCCAGTGCGGAGACCCTCACACTTAAAGGGCAACCACGATATCCCCCTTTACAAGGTAAATATTTGGGGTTATAACTTTTGCCTTCCCAATTAACTCTGGGGCTTCCTTATCTTTCATCCACATAACTAGGAGTTACAACAAGGACATGATAGAAGTAAGCAATTTGAGAGACTAGAGTTGATCGGAGTGATCTACCCCACCCCCCACCCCGAGGGACAAATATCTTCATCCAAGATGCAGATTCCTTTTCACATGCCTACAGGGAAACTGTTTAGCAGTTGCATAATTGTGTATCAGCACTTGAGCAGAAAATGCTGCAGTTGCATGATTGTATCAGCCCTTTGAGCAGAAAATGACTAAGAAACCATCAACTCAATCAGAGGAGGTTATCAGCTGTAAACATCAAAATGCTCCCATTTTTTTCCTGGAAACTAAAGGGTCAAAAGGAAAAGAAAACTAGATCAAATCCAAAAATGAAAGCTACTCCCTGAGGAAATATTGCTATATTATGAAACTAGCATCCATAACCCTCTATTCTCAAATGTTTCAACAAGGCAATTCTGATCTGTTTTAATTTTGTTGCATCAAGTAATAATTGGACTAGAAACAAGAGTTATTCAGCTCAGTAGACACCTCGATACACCACTATCAAGCCAGAGATGTAGCTTTAGTCACCAGAATAAAACAATAATGCATTTGGGGTCAGTCATTAAACAAGCAAACTTTTGCTGGCACGCAACACAGATTCAATTATTTATTTATCATCTAAGCAAGCTAGAAACTTGAAATCAAATATCTAGTGAAAAGACAGGACCACAGATGATAGCCTTACCTGTCGTGTCTTTCTGGAACACAGGGAGCAACCAGGATTTGACTGTGTCTCAGGCGAAAAACATTTTCCAATTCGTTTACTGGTTTTGCCGTTCCCCACAATAAGATCAGTTGAAAAATCACACAGGAAACATGGAAGGAAACAAAGGCAAGGCAATATGGTGCAACTTACAGCAAAACTTCAAGTTCTTCTGCAGCACTTTCTAAGATCAGCAGATTTAACGGATACCAGCTGTCCAAAAAACATGACCCACACACCCAACCTTCTCGGCTCATTTAGTAAAGAGAGCAAAAGCCGATTAGATGTTGAAGACTGTAGGCGTGCGGACATAAGTGATTAACTCCATGTTATATCCTTTCTTTTACCACAAAATTGCAATTCTATAGCAATCTCCTCTTTTCTTTTTCTCCTCACTCTTTTTTCTTTTTTTCTTTTTTTCTTTTTTGGCAGAATTCCTTAGTAATCTGCTAAGTACATAATATAAATTTGTGAGACAGAATCAGTCGCTTATTTTCACCAGGTAAAAAAATTTAAAAGAGAAGGAGAAAAAAGAATTAATGACGGATAATATAGTAAGTCCACTAAATTCCTCCACCAAAATTGTGCCTTGTGTTCAATTATAAA